AGCCATATCAAAAAATAAACTGATATTTTATCTCTTAATAGCAAAATCTAGAAAATTTATAAAATGCTATTATTATTATTATAATCGTCGTTATTGTTGTATTTTTTTCTAGTACTACGCGTTGATCATAAGATCCAAAATGATAATAAAATGAATTGGATCTCGCGGACGCAATTTATTTTTCTAGATATCGTTTTGTGATACGATTCGTCGGCCTCATCTCCTGTCGTATCGAAAGTACGAAAGGAGACGAATCTTTACGCGAAGTATCGTCAAAATGAGACCGACGGCGATCGAAAGCCCGACAATGGAATTGCGATTATCGTCCGAGCAGGGTTGCTTGCCCTCATCAAACCCCTATATACGGGAGGGCAAATCGAATGGTATGGAACACGATGAGAGACAGGGAGAGATATCGACGAAGGAAAGAGAAAACGGAAGGGTGAGAAGCGGGACTGGCACTGGGTGGAGAAGCAAGATAGAGTTAGAGAGGAACGAGCGGGAGGTACTAGGTGCTGTTTGTTGAATCCTCGAGATCAATACGACGTACCCTATCTCTTTGTCCCTCGTAATATTGCGGACGATAGCATGCGTGACACACATACATGTGCATGTTCCCGATTCACATCGCGAGGTGAGATGCTGCGCCGATTGATTCCGGATTTTTTACGAAACTCTTCGTTTTTTTTGTTTTTTAAAGAAATTACAATGTACTCTATTATTTGTTTGTTTTTCTCTATAAGATAAATTGAGATAGCATCAGTAATAAACGGAAAAAATCTAATAATTAATCATGCGAGCATCATGATGTATGTGTCTATAGGTATACTTACATATATCAGTCATGCCAATTATGATAGATTGCTATCATGAGATTGCAGTAATCTACTCCCTTTTCCGATAGGCATGCAAAATAGCTCAGCAAGTTTTATTTTTATGCTTAAATATAAAAATCTCATAATTTTTAAAAACTGATAAACTTTTTTTCAAAAAATTCTGTTTATGTACTTTTTAGTACGTGTTTTTATGGTGAGATTGGCTTTTTTATAAAAATTCCTGTTGGAATTTTCGTCAAGCCTCATCAATATATGCTTTATATATAAAAGTTTAAAAGACTTCTTCACAGGATTTTCAAAAAATTTTCTTCGCAGGAAAAAAGCAATGTACGAGCAAGATAAAATTAATCGCATTCTTTGAGGGAGTTCATATATCAGACTTTTCCACTCATTTCTACGTAATCCTTCACATTCTAGCTCTTCCATAAAACCGGTTCTACAAAGAATGAATACACTCTAAAAGAATGGCTTCACGACACAAGCCTATTTTTCAAGAAACTAGGCTGGTCATACCACTTTACTTAATACATGCTAATTATAATGCAACGAATTCCATAAAATATGAAGATAGATTTTTCGAATCTGTGAGTAACTTTTTCTAGTAGTTTTATCCATGTACATCCCCGTTCTTCCTTTCCCAACCAATGAAGGAGGCTTGCTTATCGTCATCGCGAAGGGTGAACTGCGCACTGCGGTATGGGACGAAAATAGGTCGGCCAATTCTCGTGTACCAGCACCCTCTTTTGCCAACACCTATCTATCGACACCTCCGCATTCTTATCCAAGCTCTAAAAGAACGGATATTTGCGAGTGAACTTCGATCGTTTAGGGCGCGGTCTTTTCGACGCGCACTCAATCTCAAACTTAAGTACCGCCGATGCGCTGAGAGGGAGGCGGATTATATAATAAAGTCGTCCAAAGTGCTACATATTAATAATTAATGCCTCAAACTAAGATGCAAAATTATAAATATAAATTTGCAATTTTTATAATTAAGTTCTTCTAATTATGCAATGAACTTTAAAGATATTACTTATGCTCCAAAGATATTATAACCTATAAAAAACATAACTAATGTATTTGTAATAAATCAAATTTGTTCGTGATCGCAAATAATAAAACTCAAAAATTTTCATTAATCTTATAAAAGTATATTAAGTATCAATTTTTATTAAATTTCTTCAATATAATTAAACTTCAGTATAATTAAACTTACAAGAAAAACTTGCAAACTTTCTTATATCTTGACTTAAATCTCTATTATTTCTTTAAAGTTATATNCACATATATATATATACATAAAAAAATAATCAAAATTCAAATAACAATATAAAGATCGGAAAAAAACTCCTCGTCACAGTTCGACTTCGTTAGTCAAACTAATTATATGAGATCGTCTCAAATTAAAGTATAAAATATTACGTATATAATTATTGAATTGCATGTACTTTTGACTTCATTCGATGCTCCATTATTAAAATAACATTTTAGCCTATGTTGAATATATACACCATCCTCTAGCGCATCGCACAGAGAAAACCTATATATATGTAATTACACTAACATTTGCGATTATATATCATCAACTCACTTCCGCTAAAAAACACGAGCACACATCTCCGTGACGTGCAGAGATACACGTAATGTATTTTCCACATTCGAGTCTTTCGTAGTATAATAATAAAATATGTCACTATAAAATTGTCAGTCTCACGAGAATCACCTAATAGCTTTGTCTTTATCAATGTCTGCGTTTATCACAAATCATCCAAAGGGCCTTGGCGTCAAAAAGTCTCTTCAGGATTCTTTGCATACATGCATAAATTATAATCGGTTTCTTTACTCTGGGCTATTTCCAAATTACTGTTTGTCTTCGGACCATCTTTCCGACGCGGAATATTGTTGTTGTTGGCCCGCGGAAACTTGCGAAGAAGGCTGCAAAGCAGGTTGCTGTTGAGTTTGCATCTGCATCTGATACAGGGGATAACTCTTTCGCTTTCTAATACCGTGCATGGAAAGCAAGTGAATCTGTAGATACTGCTTGGTCTTGAATTGCTTGCTGCACACATGACACGAGATATATTCGGTCTGCACGGTGTGAACGTTGACAATGTGTTGCTTCAAATTGGAATTATTTGAATATATCTTGCCGCATTCGGGACACTTGGGTTTACCGTTGTGATTAACGTTATCCATCTGCTGTTGATGGTACCGCCTCTGAGTTTGCTGATGCAGCATCGCAATACTCTCAATCTTGTCCTTTGCGCAAGACTGCAGCATCAGATTCAGCTGGTCGCCCTTGGCAGCAGTGTTTTGCTGAAGATTTTGAAGATTATTCTGCAGCTTTTGATGCATCATCGTGAGTTGCTCAGTGTTCAGGCTGTTGAGGGAGTTGAGGGTATTAAGGGTGTGTTGCTGCGACGACTGTTGGCTGGTGGCATGGTGATGATGATGCTGCTGATGATGATGCTGAAGTAGGGCCGAGAAATCCTGCCCTTTCGAGTTGTGACCCCCGCCACTCTGGTAGGTTCCAGACCCGGCGTGCTCGTTCCTCGTGGAGGACGTACCCGGCAGCCAACCGGAACTCGAGCTTGAACCATCTCCTCCAGAGGGCTGCCACCGCCCTGGAACCACCAGCCAATGTCAGTCCTCAGCCAACCTCGTACGATCCCTTAAACACTATTTAATCGCTCTTTTTTTGCTTTTCGCAGCCCATCTTATTCACTTTTTCGACCTTTTCTTTTCTGAAAGTGCATTTCCAGGTCTTAAATATAGCTTGCCCTCAATGACTTTTGCTCGGTCCCTCCCCCAAGCCTCTCCCTAAATCTAGAATCGATTCTTCATACGAATTAATACGGTAATCATTTCTGGTGTTCCTCTGCGGCCTACTGTTTGCTTCTTCTTTGTCATCGCCTTCCAATATCGCAGATTTTATTTCTGATTTTTATTTGAATTTCTCTGAGGGAGTGAGATCACTCGATAAACAAATTATCACAATTTCAATTTTAAATTTAAATTTAATTTATATAAAATATAATGACAAGATTTTGTTAATGTAATAAGTAAAAAATTATTTTTACAAAATTTGCTTAATTTTTTAAGGCAACAATCACACGAAAATAAGCTTCACGTCGCAGACGTGAAGACAAAACCAAAAAAAAAGATACGACGTAAAAAATCGTTTTCGAATTCACAAATAATTGCGTGATTATTAAAAGAGTTCTCATTTTTTCTGGCAAATAGAATAAGATATCCTGCAGATACAGTAACATATGTCGCAGTAACGAAAATTGTCGAAGAGCCATTGAAATGCGACTCCGTAATACGCTCCTGCTTACCGTGTGATAAGAGGGGTGGCTGGCAGGGGATGCAAGGTTGTGAGAGGTACGAGAGTTTTCATGCATTCAACGCAACAACAAGAGACCAGAATCTTAGGAAACGACGGAAGGATACTAGTCTGGGCTTCGAGAACGTTTAAAAAGGTGAGATCGAATCGTTGATTTTGTACCATTTAGTACTTACCATAATTAGGATCCTGATTTGCCACCTGGTGCATACCTGACGGTCCTGGCAAGCCCATCCCTGCAATTTATAAAACGAGTAATTTATACGAGAGTTTTCGTGCAGAGTTTTCAACAAAAGATAATCTTCTTTCAAACAAACAGAAAACCATTTCCCATAACAAGATTTTGTTAATGTAATAAGTAAAAAATTATTTTTACAAAATTTGCTTAATTTTTTAAGGCAACAATCACACGAAAATAAGCTTCACGTCGCAGACGTGAAGACAAAACCAAAAAAAAAGATACGACGTAAAAAATCGTTTTCGAATTCACAAATAATTGCGTGATTATTAAAAGAGTTCTCATTTTTTCTGGCAAATAGAATAAGATATCCTGCAGATACAGTAACATATGTCGCAGTAATGAAAATTGTCGAAGAGCCATTGAAATGCGACTCCGTAATACGCTCCTGCTTACCGTGTGATAAGAGGGGTGGCTGGCAGGGGATGCAAGGTTGTGAGAGGTACGAGAGTTTTCATGCATTCAACGCAACAACAAGAGACCAGAATCTTAGGAAACGACGGAAGGATACTAGTCTGGGCTTCGAGAACGTTTAAAAAGGTGAGATCGAATCGTTGATTTTGTACCATTTAGTACTTACCATAATTAGGATCCTGATTTGCCACCTGGTGCATACCTGACGGTCCTGGCAAGCCCATCCCTGCAATTTATAAAACGAGTAATTTATACGAGAGTTTTCGTGCAGAGTTTTCAACAAAAGATAATCTTCTTTCAAACAAACAGAAAACCATTTCCCATAGTTTAATTAATGCTGGTTACGATCTCATTTTTAAACTTGCATCACGTCACAATTTTAAGAAATCTACGATTAAAGTTGCGAAAAAGGCTATTTTAATGTATTTTAAATAAAGCACAAAATTTATATCATCAAATTGACTACATAATAAATAAATAATATCAAATTATATTAATGTTAGTTTGTTGCATTTAATAATAGATTCAATACCAATACATTTCCGCAAGTCAAGAAACACAATAAAATTATATACACAAATAAAAATAATTATAATTATACAATAATTAATTTTAATTGAAGCCGTAATTAGTAATTAAGTCATACTAATTGCTAATTACAAAAGTAATTAGTAACTGAACGAGAAATTAATTATTAATTACAAATGTAATTAGTAATTAAATGTGTCATTAATTAAAAAACTAATTTGCATTCTACAAAATCAGGATTTCTTTGATTCATTGTAAATTTGATTCTACCTTATAAATATATCAATTGTTGTTTGCACAAACAAATGTCAAAATAAAACAAATAATATTTTTTTTAACAAATTAATATTTTTCATATATTATTAATTTAACCATTAATAAAATAAAAGATTTTATATGTATAAAATGCGTTATGCGAATAGATATGAAGTAAAAAGTAAATAATAACCTTGAAGGCCCAATAATGCCGCAGGAAAATTGTTGCGATGATGTTCCATAGAGTCGTTTAGAATATCACTCGGTTCAGTCTTCACCGTGTTCAGGATGCTGCCGTTATTCGATATGTCCTCCTCATTTTCCGACATAGAATTCGAATCCTCCCCAGTCGACTAAAAATAAATAAAAAGAACCCCATTTTTTTGTAAAATATACAATCATATAATAATTATAACTTTTGTAACAATATTAACTAATTTCACGAAATTTTTTTTTACGATTTACCGTAAAAATCAGTTTTATAAAATTTATAATTTTTTAAAAAATATGTTCACAATATGGACTTTATTCTATGTTTATAAATCATTTTCGGTTAAATATATCGAGATATTTCCTTTCTCTCACCTGTACATTATTCGTGGGTATCGTATGTATCGTGGGTCCACCTTCTAGAGCCTGACCCAACAAGGATTCTTGCAGATCCGATTTCTGTTCGACGTGGTTGCCCAATGGCGGGCTGCAACTTCTCGGTCGCTTTTCCGGAGGGCTCATATCACTTTCATTAAGGTCTCCTCTGCCATTGTCCTGCCAAGGATTACGTGGTGTTGCCTGACGAAATTAAAGATAATATGAACAATTATATAATATCTTTAAGACACATATAATCATTCTTCACATAATATGTAACTAATATTTAATATATTTAATACGTTTACATAATTTTTTTTATATTCTACTATATGTTCTATTATATACTTTATTATACAGGGTGTCCCAAAGCACCCTTGGCGTTTCACTATTATATGATGACATGATCAGTATGGCGTATAATCTAATATCAATATAAATAAATCAATATAAATAAAATATCAAAATAAAAAATATGGAATATCCTATGGAACATTCTATACCACGATCCCTGCGTTCCTCAAGTTCACACTTAGATGCTGACATGTGTATGTATGTATGTATGTGCATGCATGTTTGTATGTATGTATAATCACAGAAAAACTTGGAATATTCATTCATTATTAAAGTTTTCGTCTAATATTTATCTAACGTCTATTATAATATAAATCACGAAATTAAAAGCTAAAGGACAAAGCGAGAAATCCTAGTCGAGATTTTGCCTGTCACGGTAACAGCGATGGCGTAGTGTTAAAAGCACATTAATTAAAATTCGTTTTAATTAAGGCTAAATTAATTAAAAGTTTGGAACCAGCCGTATAATTCCTATAATTAATTTTCCAACTTCCATATTAAACTGCCGTGGGGACAACTTACAGGCGCGCTACCGTTGTTGCCGGCCGACGTCGACGGCGGTGGAATTTTCGCATTGGAAGCACCGCTGTTAACGTCCGCCAATCCCCGTACCTGAAGCATCTGCGCTGTCTTCAAGAAGGCAGGCAGCTGCTCCTGACCCACGTGCACTTCTCCGTTATACATGAAGCGCAGCAAGGACTCCATGTCCGAAGATGCTACGTCCCTCAAGATTACAATCGGATGCTGACATGGATTTGCCTGCGTAAAATTCATATTCCCTTGAATTGATTGAATATCTTATTCCATTAAGATAATATTTTAGATAATCTAATTTTAAACAATCTGATATTTGGGCGACTATAAATATCTTTCTCTCATTCACTTTCTCTCTCTCTCTTTCACTCTCTCTCTCTTTCACTCTCTCTTTTTCACTCTCTCTCTCTCTTTCTCTCCCTCTCTCTGACACAAAATTACGCTATATTATATTCAGCTGCATTATATTGATTATTAGATAATAATTAAGAAATACATGTAGTCCTTTAATCTCATCTCATCGCCATCGAGTAAATCTATAATCAAACTCTCCTAATCTCAACTCACAGAAACGATAAACATAATGACAATAGACGAGGAGCACAAAGCTCGAAATTTAAAGAATAAAGAAAGAACAAAAGAAAAATAATAATAGTACATACTTCTTTGTCTAACATAATAAAATGTGCACACTCAAAACTGTTAAGCATTCAATAAATGATAGAGAGAAAATTATTATTATTATTTTCATTATTAATGATGAAATCCAATGCGTATTAATGCCTAAATTTTCTGTTAGTAAATAATCATCATATCATATCGTTGTTGATAATTCAATAATTTTATTTTTCTATATGATTATATTTACGTTTATATTTAGTGGTATACATAAATGATAATACAGAATCGTATGTTCCGACATCCATAGTGTGGCAATTATAAAAAGCATGTACTTTAACGATCGATCGATCAAAGTAATCGATCCATAGAAAGCGTACAATATTTCAATATTTCTATCCGCAAATTCATGTGAGCGGAGATCGAAAATCAGAAGAAATATATCGATCTTTTATATCAGCGAGAGATCAAGAAGTTTGATGGTCAAATCTTCTTCTTCTCTTTTCCTTTATATATTGAACAAAATGTTTTTCACATATGATAAACTTCAGTAAATCGTGCATTCTTCGATATCAATCTCCCACAATAAGAAAACTTACTCTTTTCAGAGTAAACGATTTAGCATCGGTTAAAGGTTAAGAGATATACGAGGATTCTGATCGATAACCAGCCAATCGATCCTTCTTCCAAAGTGCTTAATCCCATCTCCGGTGGACGCACAGAGAGAGTTTGACGGCCGATTAATTTGTAACGATTTACTACCGAGATGCATATAATCAACGTCGCTTAATCCACGTTGAACCTACCCTTTATTTTGCTTCACTGTTGAACCGATTCATATACTTAAAAATACATAAATTCATATAATCATTATCTGATCTCTTTCTTTTTTCTTTCTCTTTTTTTTCTATTTTATCCTTCCTGTTTCTTCTCTAGTATTGACGTAGTTTTCTTAATTCTTCTTTTTTCATATTATCTGTAAAATAACATCAAAATACATACCATAATAATTTTTTTGTTTATAAATAAATAAATAAAAGCACTGATTTTTTACTATGCTCGCGTAACGATATAGCTGAAAAATGTAAAATAATAAAATAAAATATAAATTTAATTAATTGTAAGGAAAAGAAGTTTTACAAGATATGGCTAATTAAATTGACCACGCAGTGTAAATCAAAAATGCTCTATTTATTTTTTTATTAGTGGATTGACCGAGCAAAATTGCTTTCTACCGACCTTTAATTGCATCTGCGAATAGTCACGCTCGACAACCAATTGATTCGTAACGACGATTAATAACCATGACGCGTATAATGATCGATACTCGATCTACGTCAGGATGTTCCCGTATCCCTTAGGCATTAATTCTTGCGCCTGTCAAACCAAAAAATTAACTCTTAATATTGAACGATTCTTAAAATCGTTAGACGGTAATAATTCTCAGCAAATGCAAAATTGCTCTTTCGTGCAATTTTTAATTAACTTACCGTACGTTTTTAAAAAATTATATATTTAAATAATAATATATTTAAATAAAAATATATATTTGCCTTAGTATAATACTGTTTATATCTGAACGATTATATTATTCAATAATTACGGAAGAGAAAATTATCAAATTATGATCACATCACTTGTATAAGTTAATCCTCACTTTAATTTACTTAATTATTTATTTATTGATTTATTTGTTTCTATAAATCAATCCATTCAAATGGTTTTATATAAATCAATAATTTCTACGTAAATTTTTATATATATTTTCTAATCTGTAGATGCAACAAATATAACAATGTACTCTTAGCTAAGCAGAAAAGTTGCATTGATGTTGCCGGTATCAATCACGATCGCTCTCGCAAAAAAACCGCGAGAACAAACCACCCTCTTCATGCATAAAGCGGAGGTGTTTCACGGCGATGTATGTATGCCGTGGCAACACTACACGAAATGCCGGTGCCATTATCGACAGCGATATTAATTATAATTAATGAGCCTCACGGGCGGCTTTCCGTGCGTCTGCTTGCACGGATATATCGAGACGACGTGAGAGACAAAGAGAGAGAAATGTTGCATACATATATATACATACAACACGTATATACGATACTCCGTTGATTGTGAGACGTATTACAATGCCACGATCCCGGCGGAGAGCCGTTCCGACTCCGATTATCCATGTCCCAAATTTAATGTCGGTACGTGAAAACCGCAGAGACCCGGACGTTGCCATGTGCAGAGACATTTATTATTGGCCGGTATCGACTTAATGTCTGTGCACGCGGTGCAACGAGGTGCGGCATCTCGATTTATTGAACTGCAACGGAGGTATATCGTGATCGTGGAAAGTGCTTCTTGAGAGAGAACCAAATCGCGCATATATTGCGTAATAAAACAATATATATAGCTAATATAGCGAAAATAAATTAACGCGAACTTTAGTTGGAAAACTATATACTTAAAAAATAAAAAAAAGAATATATATATATTTTAATTATATATTTAAGTTAATATAATATGTATAAATAACTTTCAACTATTAAATTTAAAGAGAAACATAAGCGTAAATGATATATATTTTTGTATTATATTATTTAAAAAAAAAAATCTATGTAAAAGGAAAATGTTGTTCTAGTCAATAATTCGTTAAATGTGATAACATAAAATTATATGTGTTTGTATTTGATAATAGCTTTTTTCCACAGTGTCTGCAATGAATCAGTCGTTGCACAATAAAGTTTCGTAATTGGAGAAGTACGTTTTATTAAATACCGATGATCGCTCCGCAATAAAAGAAAAATTCTGCGCTGGTCGAGCTTTTTATCTCGGCAAAAGAGTATGACTTAATCAAACGAACGCATTGAGATTCATCTCTCGACGAAGGTAATTTCTGCAACGCGTACAAGAGAAATATTTTTACCAATAATCCTCCGCAGTTACATAAGCACGACTTTTTAATAATAATTATACGATTGAATAAACAATTTTTATTATAATGATAAAAAATATAGGAAAATCCGATGTGAACGATAAAGTAAGCTTCGTTATTGTAGCACTTTATCATTGTATCATGTTTGTTATTAAAGATGATCGGAAAAGTAATCCATAAAAAGAGATTATTAGTACCTTTTTAAAAATAAAAGATACGAATAAATTCTTTAAATTCCTCACAGTTTTTAAGAAAAAAAATATTTTGTCTTGAAAATATCAACACAAACGCATTTATAAAGTCCTATTATAAATATAATATTATGCATGACATATACATATACAATTCTTTGATACTAACTTCATCGGGTGCTCGTTGATGAGAATAACTCAAATAATTGAAGTAGTGGAAATTATCACTGTCTGAAGGTATCTGCGCACCTTTAAAACTCGGTACAAAAAGAGGCAAAGCGAAATAGAGAAGTAGGGGAAGAGAGATAATGGATGGTGCAGGAGAGAAAAGGAGAAAGAGAGTCAAACTATGAACTCCTTTATCGCATTAACCAACTCAATTAACAACTTTGAAACTGGACACCATCTTCTCTAATTAGACCTAACGGAATTAAAATAGGTCAATAATTAATTGTATGATTGCGTGTGCGTCAGAGTAGAATAGGCGAATAATCAAAGAGCCCCCGATTAATTTGCCAGATATATCTATCGATCTGCTTATCATGATTCCCTAGCGAATGATACTCGCTCGATTGCGATTATATATGCAAGGATAGGTTGACGTACTTTCTAATTACATACCTTTATAAAATATAGCTCACCAAAGAGTTATATTTCTCATTCCCTTATAATTACGCATAGAATTGTACAGAGAGCGCATTAATGTAATCTATCACGAAAGCTTATATCGTAGTATCGTATCGTTGTGCTTGTTATCAAATGAAATCTAATTGATAAATTGCTCGTATACCTAATCCAACGAACAATTTATCTCAATCATCAAAATGGCCGCCGGATAATACAATATTTAGCAATATATGTTACCCATTCATCCGTTTCTTAGAATTCAATCGTCACAAATACAGAATCGATACGCTTTTTTTGCGTATCAATCTTATATATTTGCGACGCAGAAGCCATGTATGCAAATATCTCTCTCCGCAAAAGAAGTAAATGTAAATAAGATATCGATCTATCCATTATTATTGTCTACTCCCATTTGTCTAGTGGTCAGGCGATTAGCAATTTTTCGCAATTTTTTCGCGCATCGGGGAAACGGCTCACATGGCTCGAGACGTGTGGGAAACTTTACTTGCGAGCCTTATTAACGACTTCTTGCAAACCGCCGTGCATACGCGTGCATGCACGATTTTTCCTCTCTATCGCCGACGTCGCTCGACCATAATTATCCAGCCACCTGTGAGCGATCGCGCCACGGAATCCAGAGCGTCCGCTTTCTAAAATCCGTAAAGCAACGGCGGCAGTGAAGATCGTGGGGCGCGATTAAGAATCGGCTACGTGATCGAGCGGCACCGATAATTGATTAGTGGAAATAAAGAGGGGGGAGAGCATGCGTGAGACACAATGAAGGGGGCGGTGGAGATTAACGATACGCCGTAGAAAACGAGCAGAACTTGTACTCGAGTGTGTCGCAAGACGCTTGCGGT